CTTAATGAAATGTCTAGATATATGTATCCTGTTTTGTTATTTAGAATGTGTTAAATTAAAACTCATTTAGAATTTAGAATTTAGAATTGTGTTAAAACACGATCTGATTCCATTTCCGGTAGAAAATGTAGTTTTAGTTACATGCCTACAACTCCCAACATTCACACACCCACCCAATATAGAACACAAGATGGTGAGATATTATTGGATGAGTTCAAAAAACGTTGAATACAAAAACAAATGGACTTTATTTGTAACAGAAGACGTTTCACTCCTCATCCGAGGAGCTTTCTCAATTCAAAGAGCAGTGAGTGAGGGGTTCAGGTTATAAGGCTGAGTGAGATAAGACACACATACATATGTAGATTGACAAATCACACCTCACGCTTTAACAGTAGGGGTTTCTTAAGGTCTTTGTTACACTAGATGAGGCCCCTCTGTTCCCATCAGGCGCAACAACTGGCTGGGAATCAGCCCCAAAGTCGCATCATACGTTTTTGAAAGTTGAAATCTGAGGCCTCCTCCTCTGTTAAGAGACGTTTTTTCCATTTTTACATAAATTGCTTCCTTCACCCCCCTCTCAAACCATCTGTGTTCTCAGTCCAAAATGTGCACATTTTGGTCCTCAAAAGAGTGTCCCTTATCTGTGAGGTGAACAGCTGAATCTTGTCCTGATGAAGTGGCTCTCCTGTGTTGAGCCATGCGTCTGTGAAGAGGCTGTTTAGTTTCTCCAATGTAGAGATCTGGACAGTCCTCGCTGCACTGGACTGCATACACTACACCACTCTGTGTATGGGTGTTCTGTCCAGCCTCTGTCTGAGAGTCCTGCTGGGTTTGAAATGTACTGGGATGTTGTGTTTGTTGAAAATCCTTCTGAATTTCTCTGCTACTCCAGCAACATAAGGGATGACAATGTTTCAAAGTACAGAATTGCTTCCTCCACTTGCCAGGATCTATCATTCTGCACTTCCATCAGACATGAAAAAAAAAAAAGAGAATAACTTTTTCTATTCTTAAACACAGAGTAACTCCTTCCCACTTGAACATGTTGCATTAAAAACATGAAGTTTTTTGTTTGTTTGTTTGCATTCCCTGGTTAATTTCAGTTCAGAAAAACACATCTTGCAAACTACAAACCTTCATTATTCAAATCTCTTATTGACTGGGAACATCGGCACAGCTTTTGTTATTTCATTAAGAGTAACATACTATTATTTACATTAGTAGAAAAAAATACAACCCCCCCCCCCAAAAAAACAAAAAAAACAAAAACAACAACTGTTATTTACTTATTAAAAGTATTCAGCCAAACTAAAAACAATGCGGTAAAACTAATTAAAGGATTACACTAACCTTTAATGATATCCAATATGCGCACTGAATATTTGTCCGTGGTGTAATTACCATGAAAACCTTCCACTGCAACTTTGTAAACTGAAGAGAGATGAACCTGGTTAACTCACAAGTTGATTGTTTTACTGTTTTTTTTTATATTTTAACACATACTCTTACCAAAATCTATTTTGCTTGTCTGTGTGGATTCACAAGCTTTGTTAGTACGGTCATCATTCCTGATTCCCTCCTTGAGCTGTTTACTGCAGCTTTCTACAAAAATAAATAAATAAATAAATAAATAAAATAAAAACTATCCATTATCTTTTATCCGCTTCTTCCATTTTGGGTCACGGGGGTTGCCGGTGCCCATGTCCGGCAATCACTGTGCGAGGGGCGGGGTACATCCTGGACGGGTCGCAAGTCCATCAAAGGGCCACATAGAGACAAACGAGACAAACAACCATTCACTCTCTCACTCACACCTAGGGACAATTTAGAGTTACCAATCAGCCTAACATGCATGTTTTCGGTCTTTTGAGGAAACCGGAGTACCTGGGTAAACCAACACATGCACAGAGAGAACATGCAATTTCCACCCAGAAAGGCCCCCGGACTGGGATTTGAGCTGGTGATCTGCGCACTGAGAGGCAGCAGCTTTACCAGTTGTGCCACCGTGCTGCCAAAGAATGACAGGTCATGGTTAACCAACCAGACATTGTGGTAGTTAACAAGCTACAGAAGAAGGCACGTGATAGACACCAATCCCAAGAAAAGGAGCATTCAGAATACTCAAGAAATACTAAGGGCTGAAAGAGGAAATAAAGAAGCTGTGGAGAGTCAAGGCATCAATATTTCCAGTGGTCAGAACTTGTGACCTCCAAAAAGGAAGAGAGGCTCCAACAAATCCCAGAAACAACCCCTCTGCCAATCTCTGTCCAGAAGAGCGAAGTCTAGGAACAGCGAAGATATTGGGCAGAAGCCTCAAACTCCCAGATCTCTGGTAGAGGACCTGAGCTTGAAGTTAACTGGAACCACTCAAAGTGGAAGAGTAGGGCAAGCTAGAAGTTTTCGTTTTTATATAGCGTGAGAGAGATAGCTTACTGCTTCGTATAAGCCTGCAAATATTTTGAATTTATATTACCTTCAGCACAGATACATGCATCGCCTTTACAGAGCCTCAACAGCTCGCCGTCCTGCCTTTCAGGGCGGTAGAATTTCACACATTGTTTCTCTGCAACAATAACATAAAATACACATTTTTAATACAATTCAATTCACAGTTAATAGAATATGATGTAGAAATTTGCATACCATGGGGGGATAGAAACAAAAATGGAGTGTGTGTGTGTGTGTGTTTGTGTGTGTGTGTGTGTGGGGGGGGGGGGTTGTCCTGAAGGAGGAGTTAGTAAACGATGTAGTAGAGGTGAAAAGAGTGTTTGAAGGTACAAGTAGTAGGTCTGATGCTAAATGTTGTCAGTGGTTGTGCTCCACAGGTTGGCTATGATGTAGAGGAGAAAGAGAAATTTTGAAGGATCAAGATGAAGTGATAAACGGTAAATGGACTGTACTTATATAGCACCTTTCTATCTAATAATGATACTCAAAGCAATTTACACTACAATCTGTGCCCTCATTCACCCATTCATACAGCACTCTATTATATCTATACAAAGAATAGTTAGTGTTTCATCACATTCATACACCAATGGGACACACATCGGAGGCAATGAGGGGTTCAGTGTCTTGCTCAGGGACACTTTGGAATGTGACTGCTGGTGGAATGTATTGCAGGATGACTGCTCTAATCACTCAGCCACAGCCATTCCACAATAGAGAGTATTACCATGGAGGAGAGAGTGGTGATTGGAGCAGACCTAAAAGGACATGTTGGTAAAGGAAACAGATTGGATGCGGAAGTAAAAGTTAGGTTTGGTGTCAAGAAAATAAACCAGGGAGGACAGAAAAGAGGCCAGAAAGAGGAGACAGGAATATAAGGAGATGCAACATAGAGCAAAGAGGGAGGTAGCAAAGGCAATACAGAAGGTGTATGATGAGTTCTATGGGAGGCTGGACACTAAAGAGGGCAAGAAGGACTTGTACCAGCTGGCGAGAAAGAGGGATCTAGGTAGCAAGGCAAAGAGCGAGAGCAGACAGGGAGCAGGCAGAATGGTATATCCACAAGACGATGCGTGAGATTGAAATCCAAAGAACAAGGCATGAACATCAGACATAAACAAGGACTAGATGGCTGGATAACAGATACCAAGAAAGGTCTGATAATCTGGCAGATTGGAGTGGTGAGAGAAGTTCTTAAATAAGGACTAGAACAGGTGCAGTGAATTGGGGCTAATGAGCTGAAAGTGCAGAGGGGCCATGGCAAAGTGACAGCACAAATAAAAAAACATGACATGGAGGCAGATGACAGAGAACCGGTGATCATGACACAAACAGGGCGAGAAGGACGTGTACCGATTGGTAAGATAGAGAGATCAGGCTAGAAAGGATGTGCAGCTGGTTAGACTTGTTAAAGGTAGGAATGATAATGCTCTAACAAGTGGAAGAGTGTGATGGGAAGATGGAAGGAGTAATTTGAGGAAGTAATGAATGAACAGAATGAAAGGGAAAGAAGCGTAGAGGTCAAAGAAACTGTGGACCAGAAAGTGGGAAAGATTACTGAGGGTGAAGTCTGGAAGGATCTGAAAAGAATGAAGGGAAAGGCAGTAGGACCTGATGACATGCCACTGGAGGTTTGGAAATGTCTTGGAGAGATGGCAGTGAGGTTTTTTACTCAAATATTCAACAGCATGTTTGGGGATGAGAAAATGCCTGGGAAATGGAGGAGTGTGCTGGTGCCCATTTTTAAGAACAAGGGTGATGTACATAGTTGTAGCAACTACAGGAGTATTAGGTTGATGAGTCACACAATGAAGATCTAAGATAGAGTTTTGTAAGCTAAAAAGATAGTCCATGCATGAAATGAATAGAGAAAGATTTCAGGAATGATTTGTGACAAAAGGGTGGCAGCAAAGGTCAAATAAAAAAAAATACAAGACAGTGGTGAAACAAGCTGTGTTTCATGGCCTGGCGACAGTGGCACTGACAAAAAGACAGAAGAAAGAACTGGAAGTGGCAGAAATGAATATGTTGATGTGCTTCTTAGGAGTGACAAGGATGCATAAGATTAGGACTGAAATCATCAGAGATACAGCACATGTTGAACCACAGAGATATAAAGACAGGCTGGACTGAGATGGTTTGGACATATTTGGACATATACAGAGGAGGGACAGTGGGTATATTGGTAGAAGGATTCAGCTGCCAGGAAAAAGACAAAGAGGAAAGCCAAAGAGGAGTTATATGGATGCAGTTAGAGGACGTGGAGGATGACTCACTGTGGCAACCCTTGAAGAGGGAAAATCCAAAAAAAGAAGAAGATGTAGGAACGAACACACGTGAATTTAAATGTACTGCAAGCTTAAAGGTAAGGTGTTGGGACAAGCATACAAATTTGATTGTATATGATTGTACTTGTAAAAGTTGTACTTTTTTGTTTTTACAATAAATACAAAACATTTAGAAACCTACTGTTATAATATTCATAGACTGACACTGCAGCTGGTTGCAAGACGCCCACTTTGTGCTTCTGTTCTATCCTGAAGGAGATTTCCTCTGGCCGTGTGTTAGAAATCTGGGAAGGTAAAGAAACAATAAGATTGTGTGAATAATCTTTTTGTGTAAAAAATCCTCCTCACAATCTTACTAAATATCTCACTGTTCGTATAAGAATTGTTTTGTAATGCTGATGGTTCCTACCACCATAATTTTCACAAACTGATCTCTACAAAGCAATATGAGGCATTTGTAGGAAAGTCACAACATATTTGAACTAGAAGTTCTAAAACTGATTTCTGTATTTCACTGGACAAGTTGGGGAGTAAAGGACACCCTGGACAGGATAGAAGACCATCACATAAACATAAAGACAAACAAGACAAACTAGCATTCACGTTCTCACTGATAGGGAAATTTTAAAGTTATCAATTATCCTGGCATCCATGTTTTTGGTCAGTGGGAAGAAACAACAATACAGTAAGAAAACCAACGCATGCAGAGGGAGGACTTGCAAACTCCACACAGAAAGGCCACAGGCAGGGGTGTGAACCTACAACTATCTGGCTGTGAGTTGACAGCTCTTACCACCGTACTGTTGTGCAGCCCTAGTATTTATTTTTGATTTATTTTTTTGTCAATGTTATGTGTTCAGCAGGTCTTGTTCTGGTTTAATTTAAACTTATTTTATATTTATAATAATAATAATAAAAAAAAACAAAGTAGAAAAACCTCAATAGTTTATTATGTGAATTTTATGCACCGCAATATTTAATAAAAATTCAGATTAAAACCATGAGAAGGGTAAAAAGAGAAAGATATTTTAAGTGCGATGATGACATAGTGTTGCCCTTGTTGTACTTTGATACCTGTACCCACAATAAATATATATATGTATATATATATC